AAAAAGCCCTAACCACTTTCTTACAGCTGAGAAGGGGTGAGCCAGGCAGCAGGGGCAAGGGGAGATGGGCCTGTGCGGGCAGCATAGGAGTCCTCTCTGCCTGAGGAAAAACCCAAAGTATGGAGTGGAACACTGGGCTCAGACCACAGAAGTTTGTGGTTGCTAGGTAAAGGTCAAGGTGGGGACGGGTTATCAGGGACTTTATCTTGTCAGCCATAGGAAGTCACTAAAGGATTTTTAAACCCGGGTCATTACATGATCAGACCTGCTTTTTAGATGCATTCTGCTCTTCTTGTTGCAGGGAAGATGCATTTGAGGACGGGCAAGACTGGAGGCTCCTGCCCAGTGGAGTCAGGAAGAGAGAATGACAGACCATACTCCTTACCCTTTCTACCGCTCACCAACTGCCTACACCCTCAGACTTCCAGGGTGCACTCACCATCGCAGAGCACTCTGCCTTGGCTCTTGCTGTGCCTTGGCCTGGAATGCCCTTCCCCATTCTCCTTCCGATTAAGTCCTCATTGCTCAAGAGGCAATTCAGGCATCCCTCCTCTAGGAAGTCTTCCAAGACTACATGGGAGGCTAAATTTACCATTTCTGTCTTCCACAGCACTCTGGAATATCATTTGCGCTGAATTCATTATCTTATGTTGAAATATCATGCTCAACCATCTGTCACCCTGCTAGACTGAGAGAACCCTGAGGGCAGACAGTCTCCTCTGAATCCCCCAGACTGTGCACACTTGCCTGGCTGAACACTCGCTGAACTGAACTGAACGTTCCTCTCCTGCCCGGAACACTTCCACCAGCACCCACTGCCTGCTGAACAAAGTCCCCCTCTTCGCCCAGCACCCCCATAATCTGGCCTTGTCTCCCTCAAAACCTCCCACACACAAATATTCTACTCTCTAGGGCTTATCCCCCAAGTTGCTCCCCTCCACATATACCATATCGCCTTTTCTCCAAAGCTTTGTTCTTGTTGTTTGCTTTGGCACTCTTTCCAACTGTCTTAATTCAATCCATCCTCTCTATGACTTTCAAACTTGAGCTTTGCAAAACCCAGATCAATCCCAGCCCCTGCAGCTGGGAGTCCCCTCCCCCACGGCAGCACTGTGGCAGCAGAACTGCCCTCCCTCTCCCCTAAATAATGACAAAGTGGGACTGGGAAGCCATCTGGGAGAATGCCAAGACCGTCGTCGAGGGATGGTGAGGTTTTCTCTTTATTTATTCATTTAAAATATTAAGCAGAAAGGAAAATAAAGTACTAAGTGGGCTTAATTTACAACTCTTCCTCCCTTAGAACTTCAAAGGCAACCGGAAGCTGTGCGGCCTGGTCCACATTGGACATGCTCACATGAACACTGCATCATCCAGCAAACAAAGGACACGACTCTGTGATGATTTTTTTAAGCCAGGCATGTGACCACACCACGGTATGAAGCCCGGCCCTCATTATCATGACAGTGTCTTTTTATTCAGAAAAGGCATTGGCGAGGGCCTTCTCCACCCAAGTACTTCAAAGAAAACCTGCTCCGGAGAAGTTAGCTGGCACGATGTCACCTACACTATATACATTCTGCTATTTTTAAGGCCAGAAATGACTATAGCTGAGGTTCTGGGGGTTTCTGGGGGAAAGCACTACAGAAATAAAAGTACATAGTGAAGCTGAGATTTTTACATGGTCAGTGGATAAAACCTTGCTCTATGAAAGATTTATTTTAAAAGTGGTTTAGAGAAAACTCTACCCGTATGGGATATTCGGGAGACCACTGTGCCGATGGATCTTGACCTGTAAACACCTTTTCCTCTGTAACTTCACATGATGTTTTCCAGTCAAAGAAGGTGCCACAAAAGCAATTCGAAGCACGGGCTTGTCCCCCGCTTGGCATTTCATAGTCTCCGTGTCTGCGAGTAAAGAGTCAACAGCTCTCTCTATGACCTGCCAGCAAATGAGTCCAGGAAGGCGGGCACAGCTGGTGTCATTCATGTCGCCCACCGCAAAGCCCTTTGGAAAAACATGACTAAATCATGGCCTTACAAAACCGCCAATATGGGGAGTGGAATGTCTGCAGCTGGAATTTCTGAGGATCAATCTGAATTGTTTCTTACCAGACATTTGCAAGTGTGCCGTGGGAAGGCGAGTGTGTGTGGCAGGGGTGCAGGAGACGGGGGCGTGGGGAGGGCGAAGGAAGGGGTGAGGGCCAGGGCTGCGAGGGAGGAGCGCGCTGAAATGAAAAGTTAGCAGTGTCGGGACAGCGTGCCTAAAATAACTAATGTGACGATCCTGTCAAAGAATGGGCCGCAAGTGATAAGTACCCTAACTCTCTAAAATAGACTTACTCTTTGAGCCACGGGATGCTCCAAGACCCTTGGATTTGTACAGGAGTTTATGTTAAAGTAATCCCCCTCCCGGTCTGAGAACAGCACCAACTGTGGTGTCATCTCTTAAGCACTCACAAACTTCGCACAAGGCAACGAAAGTACAGTTGATGAAAATTCACATTTTAAAAATATGCTTGCTTGGACTTCTCATAGCCATAAAGAGGAGACACACACACACACGAGGCAGGCCAGGAGCCTCCAATGCTGTCAAATGTCCCTTCTCTCTCTAGGCCTAAAGATCTCACTATGCGAAAGGACCTGAAAACTCCAAGCGGGGCGTCCCTCCAGGGGACTGAAGTATGGCCCCACGTTTAAACTTAAGAGAGCCAGGAAAAGCTGCAACCGTCCTTTCCCCATCACAGTCAGTATGGGACTTCTGCCCCGAACACTCTGAGACACTCGCACCCACGTGTCGCCTCTCTGATGACAGACACACCGCGGCTATCGGAGCCTGGACGGTTGGGACCACAGGGGAGACGTGGTGCAAAGACGGCGCGGGGTAACCATCTCTCCTTCAGGCTCTCTGAACGTCACACCACCTCAACCCAGCGTCAGCCCTACACTCCACACAGACGGGCAGCGGGAGGTGAGCCAGCCGCCTCAGGACCTGAACTCTCCCAGACGTGAGCAGGGTGTGACCCCCCAACAAGGCAGGCAGGGCAGAGAGAACACAGCTGGGCTCTGGGGCGGCTGTGCTCTTGGCAGACCCCAAAAGTCCTTCCACCCCCACGTTCTTCTGGGCAGTTTCGGCTTCCTCTCACTTCCTTGCTAAAACTACTTCGCAGTTTGGAGTTTGCTGGTAGGCACTCTTTAAATAAATGGCATATCCTGTTTGAGGAATGGTTCCACTCAGGAGTACAGGTGACAATCTTTAAGATTGCACAAAATTACTGAAGTTCTCTCGTGTCACTCCGGACCAGGCCAGTGCCATTTTACCCCAGATGGCTTTCCCCACTCAGTCTGCCCTCCCAGCTACTGCCTGATTCGTCTTCCAAAGACACTACTTTCATCATGCTTTTTTCCCCAATGTAAAAACCTATTAACCGCCCCCCACCTTGAAGGCAGAGTGTAAAATAAATCTTACACCCAAGCCTGCATACAAGACTGCTATGGCCTGAATGTGTGTGCCCCCCCAAATTCATGTTAAGATCCTAATCCCTAGGATGATGGTATTAGGAGGTGGGGTCTTCTAAAAAGGGAGGTGATTAGGTCACGATGGCAGTGGCTTCCTGCGTAGGGTCAGCGCCCTTACAGAGGAGGCCCAGAGAGCTGCCCTGCCCTGCTACCATGTGAGGATGCAGAAAGAAGATGCCTTCTATGGTCCAGGAAGCAGGGCCTGATCAGACATCAAATCTGCCAGCATATTGATCTTGGACTTCTCAGCCTCTAGAATTAACTGTAAGAAATAAATTTCTATTGTTGATAAGTCACCCAGTTTACGGTATTTTGTTTCAGGCTAATATAAAGACCCTGAAAAATGGGGCTAGTTCCTCTCCAACCTAACCACCAGCTCTGCAAAACTTCCCAACCTAAACCTTCACTGCAGTGTGTTCCAGAGCTCCAAGACTCCAGGCTGTTACTTCTACTCCACATTGTCCTTCCACACTCCACACGGCCACCCTCCTTTCTTCACCCTATCCAAGTCTCCGATCATTTGACAACTGACTTAGGAGGCGGTTGCAACAGATTGTGCAGCGCATCCCCAGATGCCCCTGTCAAGACAGGCATCCTTTCTCTTGGCTGCCAGGAGCACCAGCTGCTGAGAGCTCCAAGATCCTCTCAGGGATCCCGCTCTAGCACGAGGGTACAAAGGCCTGGCCGCCTTGCCTCGCTGCAGAACTCTGAACGGCCATCCCAGCTCCAGATCTCCCCATGGGACCAGCTGCATCACAATTCAACTTGTCCCTTCCCAACCCCCTCTCTCTCCCAGTGTTGATCCTGAGAACATCCCCAGTAAAACTTCCGCTGGGCAAATCACCAACGCAGTCAGTTGCCCAGGGAGCCTAACCAAAGACAGGGATGCTAGAAATTTCACTAAGATGTGTCTATGTGTTTGGGTTGTGTGAGCAAAAGGTAAACAAAAATTGCAAAGCTTCTTCCCTTTCTCTAAAATGCAAATAGCACAGGAACTAGCTATGTAATTACATGAATGTGGAACTAACCCAGAGAAGAGACAGCATTTTCATCAGCAGCTTCTCTGTTATAAGCAGTAAAATGACTGAGTTTGTTTTTTTGTTTTTTGCAATCCTTAGGCACAGAAATAGCTATGTTATACCAAATCACTCTTTCTAAAGCCGCTCTCTGTTTTAGAATCTTACCTGTTTCATCGTCTCGTAGTTTTACTGTATGGATTTTGTTCAGAGAGTGACCTTATTTGATAGGATCCGCTGGGCAAGATGGCGCCACACAATATTAGAAAGATGTGGTCACAAAATATTTCAATAAATACATAAACACAGCCACCAAAGCATGTCCTATCACCCATGTCACAAAACAGCAGCCATTAAGCCCTTGAAAGGAGAAGCCACTGACACTATTTCTCCCAGGGTGTAAGAAACACCGCCAAGAGCGAGCCTGCATTCAGTCGCCGTGCAGTGACCGGCGTAGACAAACGGTACCTGGTTTTCTATGGCTTTCCTGTTCTTCGGGTCGCTCACCACCGACAGCTGCAGCTCTGCCATCTTCTTCATCTTGCTGTCCATGTCTATCTTCTGAAGGAGGTTTTTGGTCTGGTTTTTCAGGAGCCGCACCGTGTCCTCTTTCCCATGCTTCTTTGCAAAAAGGGACGCGCAAGCAGAGTGTATGGCAGTGACCCAGTTTTCCAGATCTGTCTGGCTGGTGGCCTAAACAGAGAAAGGGGAAAAACCCGTTTTAAATGATTTTACCCCAAAGGTGCTCCCCAAAATGGTGGGCTGGGCTTTGACTGTGTAAAATCCAGGAAGTACCTGCACTTTGTAAAAAAAAAAAAAAAAAGCTGGTTAATTTCAAAAACACACATAGCCACCTTCCCACCACTCAGGTCCGGAGGGTCTGGGAGAACATCAGGAGCAGAGCAGAAGCACACGTGGCAGGAGGAAAAAGCACAAACAAGCTACAGCCAGCAACAGAGGAGTGGTAAGAACACGAGGGTGGACGTGATATGTCACTTGGTAACATAGGAAACCACTCTCTAAAAGGCTGCGTGCGGATCTTCATAATTTTAAAAGAATGAGAACATATTGGGACTAAGATATTAAACTTTGAAACCTGGATGTAAAATTACCGTGTGGTCTAAAATAAAAAAATGCGAATAGAAGAACATTGGGGAAAATGCACAATAAATGTTATTGTTTTCGAATATAGGAATAGTTTGTCTTTCTCTACTCTTCAGTATCTTTAGACAAGATGGCCATACACTGTGTTTATAAAAAAAGTATTTTATTTTAAAAAACAATATAGAAAGTTGAATAAAGCAGAATAGACAAATATGTATGATTCTAAGCAGGCTGAGAAGCACCTGCAGGTCTCCTGATGTCCAGAGATAACCACACACTCAAACCTCCAGTGGCCTCTGTGGTCATAGAACAGGACCAACGGAGAAAACTTCCTAAAACTAAAGATATTTTGCCTGAATCACAAAAGAAAATATTCATTTTCACACTTACCCCTAAGAAGTCCATGCTGATTTAAGCTAAGCTATTTTCCCTTCCCTACAATTCAGATGAACATCAATTCATTACTTTGCTTTAAAGCAACATAGAAGGTTTTAAGCAACCTTTCCATTAAGAGAAGGAAAATCAGATCTCAGGCCGTAACTCTGGTAAGTCAAGCCAGTGTGTGGACACAGTATGGCCAGAGTTTAGGTCCCAGGAAGAGTTTAGGTCCTGATGAGTTTAGGTCCCAGGAAGTCCTGTTGCAGTGAGCACCTCAGAGCATTCCAGACTCCCAAAGTCAGCTTAGAGAGTACCATGTTCTACCAGGGCTCCTGAGGGCACCCAGGACCATCTTTACCAGAGATCTAAACCCAGGACCTGTGAGGTTTTCCATGAACCTTCAAGTCAGACACAATCTACAGCCAACACTGTGTGTATATGAAGTGCTGGGTTTAGACTAAGAGGCATTCCAGAAGCCCACTTGACCTCCTGGCTGTCACCCCCATCTCTACTGAGTTAATTAATAATAACAACAGAATTTCTTTAGCACTTAACACATACATATTATTTACCCTTAAAGGAATCCTATAAGCTATCATTATTCTACAGGTTGAAGGGTCAGAATTTCAGAGAAGTTAGGTCAATGCTCCGAGATGACTTACAGACTTAACAGCAACACGATTCCAACCTAAGCCTGATCCCAGTTCCTGCAACTCGTACCACTGTGTTCCGCAACTTCTCATTTGCTAGAAAGTTGCCCCAAATCCTAATGGGAGATAACCTGAATCTTAACATCCTAAGACCACTTCCACTTCCATGGGAATGAAATCCATAGCACTTGTCTCTGAGGGGTTTGTTGACAAATGTCTTCTTTGGCTTCCAATGGGATTCTTGGGAAGAGCCTAAGCCCCTCTCATCCACATTCTCCAGGCTTCCTTTATAAAGTCTCGACTCCGGGAATCTCGGACCTTGCACTCACAAGATCTTAAGATTCTCCAGAACAAGGGTCATGATTTTGCTCTCTTCGTGCTCTGATGAACACAGGCCACAGCCTGGCACTTCACAGGCACCTGAGAATGTCCTCTGCAGCAATGGCTGGATTTGCAAAGACCCTCCTACACTTGGCAGCGAGCAGAGGCCATTGTCTCTTGCTGAAGTCCCAATCCAAAGCCTAACTGAGCGTTTACTCTTTCATTTCTAAGTCTTGCCTTTTAACTGTTGCTTCTCATCTGAGTAGTATATGAGCTACCCTCTCAACCCCCCATCCCCAAAGCACCAGCGGTACCTGGAAAAGGTAGACGTCCCCAAAGGAATTGCTCAGGCAGAACACGTTTTCCTTCTTGGGATGCTCTGGGACGGACTGCACGATGCTGTCTTCCGCAAACAGAGCGCACCGAGGGGCGCTGCTCTGATCCGTGGAATTCTTCCCGTAGGTCTCATAGAACAGCAGGGTGCATCCTGTGAGAGAGAAAAGCAAGGCAATGTCCTTGTCACAGACCTAAGGATCCAGGAATGGAATGAGAAGGCAAGTGATACAGTAAAAAAAAAAAAAAAAAATTTGAATAAGTTAATTATGTAATGCAAACGCACATGCTAAACAAGGAAAGGCTGGCATCTGAAGAATGCCTAGCTGTATTAAGATGAACCTGGATGAAAACTGAGACGCTTCTGTGCATGTAGTATCAGTAAGAACAATACCAAACAGTAAGTTGTTGCTTATCTCTTCTAAGTATTCCACACACAGGGAAGCCCTATGCAGGGGGTGTGGTTATTTCCCCCCTCCAGGAGATAAACCTGAGAGACGGATTACGGCGGCGTGTCACCCACAGCTGGACCGGAGTGGCGCAGGGACCTGCTGGCCCCGGAACGCTCATTCTTAAGCACAATCCCACATGATTCAGGGGCTAGAAATGTGGGAGGCCAAAGAAAATCCCGTATTCATTCGCTGCACTTACAATTTGTGGGAACAGGAATCTGAGTCTACTGGGGAACTCCACCGTTTACGAGAAAGTTTACCCAGTGTACTCTCCAAATACCACATAAAATAACTTCATTTCAGTATATATTCTTTTGTCTCACAGTGATAGGAAACACTACTTACTAACTTAGACTAAGAGAAAAAAAAATGAAACTAAATATGCCTGAATTTTAAAACATTACTGTAAAAATGTTGATACATATGCTTTTAAGTACTTATTAATATTTTTCCCCTAATAACTTCTACTTGTAATAGTTTCTTCACTTATCAAGGGTCTGTTTTAATAGATAGGAATGCCTTACAATTATCAGACACAAGTTTTAATCAAATTGATGCTTCTACAATGCTCACAAATGTATTTTCTTAAATAGGTTTACTGTCCCTTCAAACCTTCACCCAATAAATACCTCATGGGCAAGCCCATGCACACACTATGAGCGATGCAGTCCCCACCCAGGTGCTGGGGAAAGACCTTCCACGCTGGCAGTGGGAGAAGCACCAGCCTACCTTCACCAGCACCGTAAATGAATGGGGCCCTCTTCACAGCATGTTCTCCGTGCGAGTCCTCATTCATAAAGGGAGCTCAAATATTCACAACAAGGAAAAGCGGCAAGGTTGCTTGTGGCCTGTCCGGTGCTTCCACTGCACATGAAACCTGCCCTGACCTGGGGCCCAAGGGCCAGGGAGAAGGGGCCACGGCAACGCCAGCTGCGCCCATGTCCAAATTCTTTCCAGCAGGCTAATGTTTGCTTCCCGGTTTCCCTAACGTCACACTCCCAACATCGAGAGGAAATGAACACAAACCCGGGGCAGCCCCCAAGATGTTGCCAAACCTAACAGCCCATCCACAACAGACTATGGCTCTCATTTGCAAGCGTGAAATCCAAACAGGACACTTCATTTTAAAGCCAGGCCAGGATGTAGAACAATATGCAGAATTTTGTGGCTATCGAATTTAAAGATCAGGAAATCACAATCTTAACTGTTACACTCTATTAAACTCCAAGTTTAACTCTGCATCTCTCAGGGGACCCCTGGACTGACGGAAAGGGGCTGCCCCCCCCCCATAATCAAAGCCTCAGAACCCACCCCCACTGCAATCCCCTCCAGGCATTGGTGATGGCCTGGAGAGTTGACAATGGGAATTCTTGCCAGGGTAGCAGAAAGAGACAACAGACTGGCACAGCAACGGCAGTATAAGAACAGAAGAGATCCTATTAGTAGAAATATCACCAGGGGGAGGAGAGCAGTTAGTCTTGGTCTTTCCTCAAATCCACCTTTCCTTTGACACCCTCTCTACCTCCACTCTCTGCTGCCGGCCTATCTTGGGGCAGAATCTCCAGCATCCTGAAATTATTTCAAGAACTCTCTCCTGACACTGTCTGTTGGTCAGTCTGTTGTGCATTTTGAGGGATATGTTTATCAACCTTGCCAACTATTCAGCCTAGGAAGTCCCCGGCGAACTGCACGAAATTCCACTCATCGGAAAAGACAGATGGAAAGCAGAATTACCCTTGTTAAATATTTATTACATCCTCCAAGCCCTAGAAAACATTTGTGTCCCCAGCGTACCTATGCATCCAATGGAGGCAGGTAACCAGGTGGTTTGCTAACAACCGCTCCCTCCACAAAACTGTTTCCGATTTATTTACATAGATACTTGGAGGAGAATTTGAAAATTCCGCTTAAATATGTATGTGTGCCTGTATGTGTACACATATGTGGTTTTAACTATTAATTAGATTAAGCCTAAAAGTTAAGTCCAAACATTACAACTTGGATTCTAAGCCAAGAAACTGGAACTTAACATACTGAATTCCCAGAGGAGAGAGGTGTAGAAAGCCACATGGAAAAGGCTATGCTGGGAAAAAACATCTTTATCGCACGCCTTGCCCTGGCTGCAAAGGAAAAGAAGGAGTGTGTGCTTGATAACGTTTGTGCTACAAAGCACCCTTTATCCACGGACCTTGAACTGTTTCACAAGCAAACCCCACAAGAGCAGGGGACTGGCAGATCTAGCAATGGTCAAACACAAGTTGGGTCTATCCCACCCCTAAAGTCAGTAGCCAGATGTTCCTGTTCTACCTTCTGGGATGGAATATAGGAACCTGGTGATCTTCCAACAATCTAGTGCAGTACAAATGATGTCAGCAGCAGAGAAATCAGGAAGGGGGTGACCTTTTCAGGCTCTAGCTGTTGTCATTTACATTAATTCAGAATTAGCCTGTCTTCCATCTATCAGTCCTATCCTAACCTTTGGGGAGACCCAGGATAAGTTCAATACCTCTTCTACACACTGCAGGTCACTCTCATCCAGTTCTTATTTCCCCAGGCTAAATACCCCTAGATCCTTATATCATCCTCCAGATGGCATGGGGCCAAATCCCTTTGATGTCACCCATGGTCCTCCTTCTCAAGGCGGTATATCGTCACACACATATGTGCCCCATTGCCAGCCCCCCAACCCTGTGGGATATACACTGGGGGTTTACAAATCCATAAATAGGCAGGGAAGAAACTCCCAAAGCATTAATTTTAAGAAACAAATTTTTTATATTTAGAAAAAATAACTGCATGACACATTATGGAGCAAAGTGCATCCATTCCAAATATCATGTGAGTGGGAAGCAGACCCAGACCGGGACTCACAAACAATTCCAGGAGCCCACGCCCTTGGGGGAGCAGGTTAACTCTCCTCTCCACCTAGGGAGACTTCAGGTAGAATTTTCTGAGAATCAACTTCTCATTTCCTAACAAGTCTCCTGCCATGTGTGCACATAAGAAGGGAAATGGACAATTCTAACCAGAGCACAGGAAAGAGAGACCATCTCCTCCTTTGCAAGAGACACGACATCGCTAATGAGGTACCTGAAGATCACATCTCCAAAGAGGTAGCTGAAGATCACATTTGCTCCTGTAGATCACATGTACTTTTATACAGCCACATCACCTTGGAAACACATTCTGAGTGGCCTGCAGAGCAAACCCCCAAATCTTTTTCACTTGTGATACTTCGTAGCCGCGTCTCCCTATCCTGTCCTTGGGTAGCTATTGGACTTAAAAATTTCAAAGCAGAACTTTCTTATTCCTTCAAAATTTTATCTTGCTAGATTCAACCCATTATTTCAACTCTCCAAAGCTCTCCTATCATTCAGTACAGGAACCTGCCTCCTCATTACACAAAAACTGGGTAAGTTCTTTGCCTTCCTCAGCCACAATGTACACAAGGACCCAAATCTAGAGATGGAAAGAGGACTGCAGTATTTGCAGGATGTTGGGTCCCTGGGTTTTATAACTCCTCTCCCCCGTTTGCTGGGGAGTGTTACTTAGGGACAAAATGCCTTTGAAGTGCACCTTTATCCAAGGGGCTTATGGACAACCAAGAAAGGATGCCTGCCCTCCAAGGTCGGGGGAGTGGGGCTTCCATTTTTAAATATGGGGCCAAGGAAAGCTAGAAAGGGGTAATTCAGAGGACTCCAGGCACTTCACACATACCCCACGCGGATGTGATTCACAGTTCCACTTTCTCCCATGATAGGGAAGGGTGTCACCTGATAATGAGGTCTGACTTTGGAACGCCACCTTCAGCTCTTCTGACAAGTCACAGGAGGGCTGTGCAGAAATGCCAGAGGCTGTGCGGCGGCTCTTCCTGCCTGCATCTGTCTATGTCAACACTGTATTCACTTAGAGCTTCGTGCTTCCTCACGAGGCACTGAGATTTTTTCAAATCCACACATCCACAATGCACAAGGCAATTATAACTTTTAAATGGCAATGCCAGTGAAAAACTTTTATCATCCTAACAAATCAAATTCTTACTTCTATTTCCTTTACATTAAAAAAAAAGATGCACTTGGTTTGTAGTGATAACAGACTTTCTTAATTCACAAAGGTGGGAGGACACAAATCAAATAACCAAGATGATGGTCTTACTTGCCTTACTTGCACAAGCTGGGAAAGATAACCTCTTTGGAGTTCTGAACAAGTACAAAACGTAAAATTCAGGATCTACATTCCAAATAACTAAACTACCTTTCATTAGTTATTTAGATTTTTTCCTTCCCCCAGAGTCAGGAAAAGTATCAAAGAATGGTACAAGGATACCTATAAAATAACAACTATTAATAATAACTATTAATCATTATTTATTAGACTGAAGAATGCATTTGAATAAGATGCTGTTTTGTGTTAACTCAAACCAACGCTGGACTCTATGGCAGCCCCTAGAAAGAGTATGGGTGGAAGAAATGATTACCTGTGGCCCTGGGCGTGTTGAAAACTCACTTACCCTTAAGTGTCACCCAGTACTGTTTCCACTTCCTTCGAGCCACCAGCTCCAGCTTCCTTTCCTTCTGCAAAGTGACGAGGGGTTTGAAGAAGAGCCACCCGGCTTTCCGGACCACTCCCTGTTCCTTCTCGAAGAGCAGGTCCAGCTGCTCCAGCGAGCTGAGCGACTCACTGCTGGACTCCGCGGTGTCTGTAGAGGTCTCTACGTTCTCAGTGTTAGTCCTGCTCATTTCCAGCTCTCGCATGAAATTCTCGTAAATGTTCTGTCGGAGGGGATCACTGCCAATCGCATGAGTGGATTCACTTCTCTGAGACAGGATCTGAGCCGAGCCCCCTGACCACAGCAAAGCGGATGCCTGGCAGGGCGTCTGCACATCCGCATTCAGTCCATCAGAGCGGCTGTCAAAATAGTCACTGCCCTCCTTGGACCTCGGCTCCTATAAGCAGCACAAATGATGACCATCAGAGCTTACAGGTATCCAAAGCACCCCTTCCTCAACATAGCATATGTGTAATAATGTTGGCAGTTGCTAATAGTGGCACTGCAAAGCAAGATTCTTATAACAAAAATACATTTTTAATCACAAAGTCCCCCAAACAGAAAGAATCTGAGAAATAGTGCTACCCAGACCAATTCATATCCAGCAGAGTCGATGCTTACAGAAGTAAATAAATAGCAATGACTCTCCTTAATCTAACCTGTGCTTAGCATCAAGAAATAAGCCAATATGTCTAAAACACTTTAGTGAGTATTATTCGAATGATATTTCTTTTTTCTTTGCTAACTGTGAATCGATGTCTTCCAGGAAAGAATTTGCATTCATGCAATCTATCTTCCTCCGGGATAATTTGAAAGCTACATTAGAAAATCAGTAATTTCAGGGAGGGGAGGGCTTTGATGTTGTTATGTAAGACCCCACAAACTCCTCTTCCTCTTCCCATGGTAAACACAGTCCTCAGCTTCCGGCCAAGTGCCCAGATCTAGACTTCTAGACTTCAGGACCTCCTTCATCTTATTTTCCTGGTTCACAGAGTTAAAACCATGCACCTAGGACGCCTTATCCATGCAGAGTACTGGATAGTAACTGTAGGGTTTTTTCCCCATAATATTTTTTACTTAATTTGAGAATTTCTTACATGAAAAGAATACACTTATGCATTCATTCGCACCCTTTCGTTTGAGCACCTCTTTTATCCTAGGCACTGGGGGTACCAAAGACCTGAGTCTTGACTTTAATATTTATTATCCCAACCCAAACCCAACACAGGCAGCTCTAAATGCAATTCTTACTTATGCAATAACTGCTGCTCCCCCGAGGCTGGCCGCACTGAACATCAAGCTGGCCGTGCACAAAACTGGAAAAGGACGTTTCTTCTAACATCTGGCTCAGAAATCCAGTCACTCAAGAAAAACACCTTGCATACAGGCTACTCACTGGTAAACTGCAGTAACCAGATTTTTTCAGCAGAAAGCGAGCTTAACTTCTGACTCAAAAGGCACTAACCCACCCCACGTGCAGAGCTCAGATCAAGGTAACTGCAGGGAGGTGCTGAGCACACTCACGTCTAATCGCCACCAGTGGGCTTCCAATCATATTTCCTTACGCATTAAAATAAAAATGAGGGAAAACTGGGTCAAGAACCAGTGACTAAAGGTCTTATTTTGAATACTGTACTGTGTAGAGAGGCTTTCTTTTCAGAAATTTCATCCAGAAGTCAAGTAGCAATTACTAGCTGCCTTTTGCAGGAAAATCATCATAAGACTGAAGCAAGCTTCCAAATACCCAGGAGCGATGAACAACTGAGCCCCAAACAGATATTACCAGGGAAAATATTATTTTCCACTGTGTTTACACTGCATCCCACAGTCATATTTATTTATACACTGATGTGTATGCAGACTAGAGCAAGTAGCCCAGCTGCTGTGAGTCACTTAGACAGGAAACTTTCAAAATACTTCAAGGTTTTTTTTTATTATTATTATTGTCACTTTGTTGCTCTTCAAAAACTCCTAGGAGATGAAGGAATACTTCTCATTTAGCTGGTATTAACATTATTTCAGCTATGAATATGACTCTCTGACTCACAGCCCCAAAACACTGGGATGCAAGAGCCATAAGGGGGTGCTTCGAAACAAGCCGAGGTCTGCCAGAGAGGGGCACGTACACACCAACGTTAAACACGACCTACAAACACTCTTGGCATCATTTCTCGTAAGAGAGAGACTGCAAGCTATAGTGCCAACTTTTAAATATCCAACTGTAGCAAAACAAGAATATTCCTGCTTGAGAAATGGGAAAATAATGTATTTCAGTATTCATAGCGATTCTTATACACAGGCATGAACTTTCCCAGTCTCATAAATGTCTAAAGCTTTCTGTCTAGAATCCTAATTGTCAGTGACTAATTTTCAGACTAATAAGAAAGGTCATGTTAAAAATAAATAAATAAACTGTCTTTGAATAGGTTCAGTTAGGTTCCTAGTCACTATGTTATGGGTGTGAAACAAATATACACAAAGCATATGATTTCATACAAATGATTTCCATTTCCACTCAGTCAGATAATCATAGACAAGGACTAAGGTAATTTCCAGACCAGGGCATGATAGCCAAGAGGGCACGTGGCAGGATCATTTCCCATCCCCTCTCTCTCTTGAGGTTAGGCATGGTGGCCTTGTGCCTTGCTTCGTCCAATAAATGTGAACATAAAGCAAATGTGTCACTTCCAAGTATTTTCTTTTTCCCTCCACCACAGTGGCTTGCAATGCTCCAGAGAGTAACTGTTTTGTCAATGTGGGGTCCCAGAAAACAATGTACACCTGAGCCACCACCTGGTGACTGGCTGCCAATGAACCTGAGGCATAAGTGAGAAATAAACATTAGCTGTGCTAACCTCAGAGATCTGAGGAGTTTTTTGTTGCCTCAGCAATAACCTAGCCTACCCTGACTGACAGAACTGAAAATTTAACCAGAACAGAAACAAAGTCTCAGTTAGTACAAAGTTAATACCAACCTAAAGTCAGTAGGAAGAGTTTATATGTATCAAACACATATTCCTCCCTAGCACGTTTTCTCTCTCTCTCCGTGTATGTAATTAGTGATATTCTTTTTCACTTGTGCATGTTTTTTCATGGATTAATCTATTTTCAGACTCTAACTCACCAGGGTGGTTGTAAAGCCCTATTAAAAAAAAAAAAAAAAAAAGGCTGCTCTTTTTATATCACTTTTTTAAAAAAAGTCAAAACAAATAAGACTGTCCATCATGGTAAGACTTTCTGAACATTGCCCTGCTGACATAAACAAGTTTGTGTGTCTGAGAGGCAGCATATATTGGTTTGGTGCCTTATTATAGTATATTGTCACAAACTTTGCTCCCATGCAATGATTACATTTTTTTAAGTATCTAAACTTGATCTTCACCTTAAATTGTGCAAGAAAAACAAAGGCACAGCCAACAGAAGCGGCATACTTGCCAAAAAACTTAACCTTGTTCACATTTATTGATCATCAATTGTGGGAACACAAGCAAAACTAGAAAATTAGCCTTCACAGCCACTTTTTAAAACTCGAAAATAGTTGATTATCTTACTACTCAATAGCCCCAAAGTATTTAGCTGTAGCTACCAACAGCACCGTGGCCACGTGGCAGGATAGCAAATGCATGTGCCTGCGGTTTTGCAGAGACAGCTTGGCCCTGCTTCTCTACCAACTGGCCATATGTCTTCAGGAAAATCCCTCAAACTCCTTAAACCTTAGTTTCTTCATTTTTAAAATGAGGGGGAGTCCTTTCTAGCTTTAAAATTCCAATTCTTTGATTCTAACCAGCTTGTTCTACAGACTCTAAGGGCACACAAATAATTCAGAGTTAGGTTTTCGGAGGAACTCAGGGAGGCTCAGCTCCAGCGGGCAGGAGGGGCCGTGAGGGCCACACGGGACAGAGAGTGATGGGTACACAGCACCAAACGGTCTGCTTCTAGACTGAATGGGAACTGAAACAGAATGAGATTCAGGAGAGCCCCTCGTGAGCCAGGCCACAGTAAGGTGGAAGCACACTCAATACAAACGAAGCTGCGGACTGACGGCTCGATGCAGTATCCGCTAGGGGACACAGTCGACGACAGCTGAACACAGGCCGGCACTGTGACACTTGAACCGAGAAGAGGTGAAAGTTGTCTGCATGGGACTGCAGCCCCAGCATGGGCAGGAGCGATTTCTCCCCCTACGCTCAATTGTTCTCAGCTGTTTGGGACATGGGAGCTGGAAGACAAAGGTCAGATCTCGACTATTCAGCAGTTTAGTCTGCAGAAGTGAAAATGAAGAAGTAAATTACTGTGCTCATGGATGTGAAGAGGTCCCGTAAACAAGACGGGGAGCATCTGTTCTTCATCTTCAAGTCAAGGAGAAAGGGGCACCCAAGGACAACCCGGGAGGGACAGTCATGGTAGACATTACACATAAGAAGGAAATTAGTGTCAAACCTTGGGAATCTGAAACAATCTGCTCAGGGAGGTGATACTATTTTCCACCCCTATAAATTTTTATAATTTTATGTCTATACAGGATGATTAAAATGCACTTCTGCCAGAGACTATTGCCCACTCAAATTCCCTTAATTCTATGACTTACACTGAGAGAACAAAAAACTCTTCTACCTTTTATAAATAATCAAAAGTAAAAACAAACAAAACAACAATAACCTGAAAACCTGGCAATTGCCATTAATTACTTAAAAAGGCAGTCTATTACTTTTCTTCCTGGTGACAAAGCTACTTTGTTCTCCCATTAAAACTTAATAGCATTATTACTATTACCATCATAATTCTTATGTTAGTGGCATTATATTTTTTTTGTATCACATATACCTAGGTACAGATGTTTTCAAAATTCCATTAGTTATCCCCATGAGGAGGTTGTAAGATTACACACAGAGACATATTGTCAACTTTTTTTTTTTGATGTACCAACTAAAGCATAGAAATTTTAATTTCCTCAAAGTAACAGCAAGCTCAGGAAGCTTACTCATCCAAAAATAATAACAATATCATATGTTTTTGGACTTTAAAAACGAGATCTAGCCAAATTCTCAGATAACCAATTTTTCAGGAATTCTCTCCAACTCTGTACTTTCTAAGAACAGTTTGGCCAGGTCTTAAGATTAGGCCTGCAGAGCTCACCCAATAGTACAGAGGCAAGCTCAGAATCAGGGTGCTGTGGACTGAACTAGGTGTCCCGCCAAAATCCACATGTTGAAGCCTTAACTCCCCAATGTGATACCGTTAGGAGGTAAGCAGTGTAGATGAGGTCATGAGGGTGGGGCCCCCAGGATGGGATTAGAGTCTTTATAAGAAAAGCAAGAGAGCCCAGAGCTCCCACTGGCTCTGCCAGGTGAGGACGCAGAGAGAAGGGCAGCCGTCTGCAGCCGGGAAGAGAGCCTTCCCCTGCATCAGACCACTCTGGCACCCTGACCTCCGTCTTCCCAGCCTCCAGAACAGTGAGAAATAAACGTCTGGTGTTCTGTTTGCGGCCCAAGCCGAGACAGGGGAAGACTGAAGTTGTGTGATAAAGGTGAGAGCGCACATCTGAAGCTAAAGGGAAAAAAACCCACACCTAAAAACGAGATGGCCACTTCTTATGCTACTCTCTTCACTTTCACCAGCTCATTTATGCCTCCCGACAATGACAACGCTCTGGTGACCTTCCAGCTCTACAGACAGGGAAGCTACGGGGGTCCTCCCTGCGGGCCAAGGTGTGCTCACCTGCAGTTTCCTCTTCTTCCTGGAGAGGCTTCCCGTCCAGTCGCTGATGCGTCGCATCCTGGCTTTGAGGGTGTCCTTCTTGGCACTGTCCTCGGTTAAGGCTTTGGGCTTGCGACAGGGGAGGGTGAAGGAGCTGTACTGCGCGGGGTCCCGGCGCGCCACCCGGGAGGGCACGTCCATGTCGGACGCGAAGGAGACCCGGGTGCTGAGGCCCGCGTGCGCGCCCACCACGCACTCGTCCGAGAGGCGCATGCCCGCGGGGGCCAGGCCGCCCAGGGTGGCGTCTCTGTACAGCTCCCGCAGGGAGGACAGGGAGGAGCTTTGGTTGAAAGGCTTTTTGGCGTCACCAGGCGGGAAGCTGGCGTGGCGGCCGGGCTCGGGCGTGCCGGGGGCCAGGAAGGGGCCCTCCGCCTCGCTCAGCTCCCCGCCGGCGGCGTTGCCCCACGGGGAGTCGTACCAGGAGGACTCGGAGCTCAGGGAGCTGCCCTTGCTGGAGCGCAGGCCGGAGTCGGTGGGAGAGGGCCGGGGGCGCGGCGGGGAGTCGGCGCCCGACGCCCTCCGGGAGGCCCCGGGCTCCGCGGGCGAGGGCGAGTAGCGCAGCAGCCGCACCGGGCCGCCCCCGCCCGACGCCTCGCCGGGCACGTGGCCGTTGTGGAACTCGACCCGCAGACACCCGTCCAGCTTCCCCAGCGTCCGGATGAGCACCCGGGGGCTCCTGCGGTCCTCGCCCCGTGGCGCCGAGGCCGCGCTCTCGGGCCTCCCGTAGCAGTGGAGAAGGTGGCCGTTGCAGTCTCTGGAGGCGACGTGGTTATCCGCGGGCTGCTGGCCCGCGCAGAGGAAGCCATTCTCCGGGCAGAAGGCGGCATCGTGGCCCTGGAAGTCCTTTCCTGGGGCGTTTGCCCTGTGCTTGGCGTGGGCGACGCCTTTGCAGACTTTGCACGTGGGCCCGCCCAGCCTGGACGCCGCGTAAGGCTGGCTGCTCTTGAAGTGAGAAAGGCAGCTTCGGGCCAGGGACCTGGACTTGTAGCCCGCCCCGCTGCCGCCGTGGCCCCACCCATGCACCGACTTCTCGTCTTTTGCGTGAATGCCACGTATCTTCAGGGAGCAAGGCTTTTGCTTAGCACCAGTAATAGTATTGCTGTGATTTTTAGATCCTTGAAGGGTGTACTGACTCTCGGAGTTCCCCATTTCAACCTAAAGTAAGAACAGCTGCATCAGTAAGACCCATGACCTCAACTATATTCCGTTATGACAGAACTTTCTAAAAAAAAAGAAAGTCCTACACATTACACAGGGAACAAGCAACTTATTTCGGTGCCTGGCACATCTCACAGGAGTAGGGACGAGAATGACTGAACTGGCTCTCCTTACCGTGCAAGGCTGTCTGTCTTATTAGCCTGACAGACAATATTGCACAGTCATGTGCTAGTTATTTTAAATACATTATTAGCTGTGCAATGTTAATTTGGAAATTGAATGGGCATAAAAATCAGCTTAAGGAAGAGATCTCCTTCAGGTTTGGTGTTGGGAGGTTTTGAACTAATGATTTCTTGAACCGAATAACTGGAAAAGTATCTTTGTCAGTCCAAATATACAGATTTCAGTGATCAGAGATACATTTCCATTATACATAAACTACTGGTAGAGCTAACACCTCACTATAATATAATAGATTTTTGCTCAAAAACTACCACATTTGTAATAACCAGGAGTCTGGGCGCCAGGCTCTGCTGGAGCTTCAGGAATACCACAAAAGAAAAAGACTAGAAGTCCTCAAAAAGAAGGCTGAGATGAAAAATAGGAGTGGGGTTGGGGAATAAGAGCTCTCATTTGGGACAGAAAAATATTTTAATATTTTTAAACTCTAGAACTTTTCTAAAGACTCAGACATCCTCACTTTAGAACATGATGAAAGAAAAAAGTTTGAAGGTGACTTGCTAGAATGTGGGCATCAGAAAAATTAACAGACCTTTATATTTCCCTTTAAAAACCCCAATTTGCTCAAAGAATCATTAAAGCCAAACTCGAAGTGAAACTTGATCCAAACCTCTCCCCCTGGTTTTTCCTTCTAACCAGTATGTCACTATTTTAGGCAAGTGGGAAGTGATGCTTTTCCAGTTCTGTTTTGAAATACATTTAGTAGGGTTTTTTTTTTTTAATTTCAATTCTTTTATATCTAAGAATGCATAGCCATAAAACAGAAGTCAAATGGATTGACTTTTCTCTGGTGGCAGTTATCAAATATTTTAAAACCAAAACCACGGGACCAAATAATTAAACCTTTTGCTCATCACCTTAATCGCAGTCATGCGATGTGACGTGAACCCCAACGTGAGCCGGGCTTACCTGCGGTCTGGTTCTCGCTCTGAGGAGCCCAACGGTCAGTAGGCTTTACATGGTCTTGGGAGGGAGGCAGCACGTTTAACACACACGGACAGCGAGTCCACGAAATGATCCTGAAAAACAGAAATATGAGGAAACTCCGTCAAGCATCTGACATGACGCTCCCTAAGTGAAAAGGGAGGTTTAGTGTAAATTACCTGAAGAAGTAACTGGCGCCCGGAATCACTGTCAAAATAATAAATGAAATGTCTGTGAACTGCTTATTCATCAGGGTTGTTGAGAAGATGTGATGCAAGCCAGAGCTGCCCACCCAGTCCCGTAAAGGCCACCAGCTCGACACGGCCTGCAGTCGAATGCACGCCTTTGTCTCAGGGGAGAGCAGGGAAGGGTGCGGGTGAGTCATGCGTGGCTCGTCTGTCACCAGTGCCAGGAAAACAACTCTCTGACTCACCGCACGACAGGAGTGCAGGAGCATCCTCCTGACCGGACAAAAGCCGTCCACTGTTCTCTAGTTGACTAAGCAGTAAAAAAAATAAATAAATAAACCCGAAACGTAAAATCACAGTCAATAGTCCTTCACTAAAACAACTTACATTTTAGAGGTTGGCCCCATAAATGTTCTCAGGGGCAGGAGGCCACCTCTAGGGGATAAAGCAGGGTTTTTTTTGGGGGGGGGGAGGGGCACAGGGCAGCCACGATGGGGAGGCTGCCAGTGTCACAGCTGGACAGCAAAGCTGCAGACACAGAGAGCACAGCGGTGAAGGTTCGACGGTGACTGTTCAGCTCCTTTTACAGATTTTATTTGTAATTGTGGTAAAACATGCATAACAACATTTTCCATCTTAACCATTTTGAAGAGTACGTTCAGCAGTGTTAAGTACATCGACACTGCTGTGCAACCCTTGCCAACATCCACTTCCAGAACTCTTCGTTTTGCAGAACTGAAACTCCGTACCCATTAAACAGAAACGCCCTACACCCCACAGCCCCTGGCAACCACCATTCATTCTACTTCCTGTCTCTATGAACCTGACAACTCTAGGTAGCTCACAGAAGCAGAAGTATTGGTCTTTTTGCAACTGACTTATTTCACTTAGCATAATGTCTTCGAGGTTCATCCATGTGGTAAGCAGGTGTCAGAATGTCCTTCTTTGCTAAGGCTGAATGACATTCCATTAAATGTATATACATTTATCCATTCATCCATCCATAGACACTTGGGCTGCTTCTACCTCTCGACTATTGTGAATAATGCTGCCATGAACACAGGTATTTAAATCTCTCTTCAAGACCCTGCTTTCAATTCTTTGGGGCATATACCTAGAAGTGGAAACGCAGGATCACCAGGTTATTCTATTTTTAATTCTTTGAGGGGCATTCATACTATTTTCCACAGCAGCTGCACCATTTTATATGCCCACCAACTGTGCACCGGGGTTCCAATTCTTCCACATCCTCACTCATACTTGTTATCGTCTGGCTCTTTGACAGTAGCCATCCTAATGGACATAGGTGGCATCTCATCATGGTTTTCATTTGCATTTCTCTAATGATTAGCGATGAACATCTTTTCATGTGCTTATTGGCTATTGTAAGCCCCAAAGAAGCTTACTGGCTTCTTTGGAGGGTGGAACAGTGACTTTTAAAATTAAGGAGAGGCGCTGGGCACGCAGTGGCTCGCATCTGCAATCCCAGCACTTTAGAAGGTTGATACAGGAGATCCAATCCCTTGAGCCCAGGAATTCAAGACCAGCCTGGGCAACATATTGAGACCCTGTCTCTACAAAAAAAAAATTAAAAATTAGCTGGGCATGATGGTGCACACCTGTAGTCCCAGCTATTCAGGAGGCTGAGGCAGGAGGATCACTTGAGCCCAGGAGTTGGTTCTGTGAGCTGTGATCACACCACTGCCACTCCAGCCTGGGCAACAGAGCAAGACTCAGTCAACTGGTAAATAAATAAATATAAAGTTAATGAGAGTGGAAGCAATGACATTAGACCTAAGTTCCTCTAATAAGGCCAAAGACAAATCTCCTGCCTGGCTCTATCCACACAAATACATTTTAAATTAAAAAAAAAAAACAAACCAAAAAAAAACACATTGAATAGAGTTTTCACTTAGCCATCAGCAGGAAATCTAATGGCTCACTGGAGTCTTTATTACCAAGGCCAGCTTTGAATTACTGACATGGGGCCTGCTATAGGCTACTGGCATTGGCCTTGCAGGAGGTTTCTCCCACACATCTGGAAAAGGGACAGCCACCAGTTGACTCGCCCTAAACACTGGCCCCATCTCTGACACCGGAGCTGGGCCCCAAGAATCCCCACCTTTTAAAAGTTCGAAACCTGAGCCGTTGTTGGTCTTTCTCAGCTACCCTTTCATTTTTTAATTTAGAGACCTACGAGTGGCCGGAGTTTTGCCGGAGTTTTGCCGCTTAGACCTTCACAATGACTTGATCAGAGGGAGGCTTTGTGCTTGTTTACTTTTGTTTGGCCCAACGTGCAGTGATGCCCCTGGAGCTGGAAGGCTCCTGGCTGCCTCCGGTCATCAGCCGTCCCGAGCTGCAGCACACGAAGCACACGTCCCACACTCTCCATAGCTGCCACCATGAGCCCGTCCCTGTCAGCCGCTCACAGACACACAAAGGCCGGGACTCAAAGCCGCAGAACAGCTCTGAGTGGGGTGTTTATGCCCCAGCAGCAAGTTATAACCTAAACTCATCTTATTCCTTTTGTAATTCAGTAGCATAATTTCTTATTTCATGGGACATTTCAAAGCACACAGCGTGAGACCCCATCCTGCACACTCGAGGCCTGAACATGCGGGCTTATAGTAAGCGCTCAATAAACACCTGTTGAATTGAATGAAAGCAGCTCCACAGGTTAGAAGGTTGATTTGGACCCAGACCAAGGGCAGGAACACCTCCCCACTGGGTATGGCTGAAAGACTGATACGTATAAATGCATAAGGACATGCTTCCATACTTAAGCCAGTACAGCCTAGGCAGGGAGCGACAGAGTGAAAACAATGCACATTTTCACCCAGGCATGGTGCTGACCAGCTGTTCCTCATGTCTGCTCAATTCAGGCAGGCGAGAAAAAGCAGCCTTAAACTGTAGCAGGAAGAATTTGTCCAATATTTATAAGAAAATTTTTGACAGAAGGGTAATCCTGGAGGGGAACTATGTGATTATTGTCCCTCCAGAGTTTGACAAATTGAACAGATATTTATCTGTCATGCTTCAGCTTTGATTTTTGTCTGAAAGCAAGAGAATACGCAGGTCAAATTTTCAGCAACCTCTGGCTGCCTGATTCCTTTACCAGGGGAATTTTGTGGTAATCAAGTTAAAAACTTTTTTTGTTGAAAGAAAAGGGGTTGAAATTTAAAAAAAACAAAACAAACAAAAAAAAAACAGTAGATTTCCTGGGAACTCTTAAAAAAAAGAAACAAATAGTTAAAAAGGGCCTGGTGTCTACAAATAGCAAAAGCACATATTAGGTAAAGTCACCTGCAATAAATAACACGTATGAGGAAACCAGCCTGTGATCTCACACATAAGGCAAGCTAATGGACACTGAGACCTAAGCTGGCAGAGAATTATTTTAAGTGAAGTCACTCTAAATTGATATGGCACTAAGACTGTGCATATTTAGCAAACATTAATACTTTTTTAAATAATTTTTTACTTATTGGACAATTATAGTAAAATATTAGAATTTGAAAAAATTAACAATTTCATGAACCTTAAAAAAAAAATTCCTATCTTTTAATTCTGCATTCCCTTTCCAATCCCCATTTCATATGAATGTTCTCTGTAGCTTTTTAAGCTAAAATCACAAACAAGAACGGAAGTTTTTTTTTTAATTTTTTTAAAACTGTGATCAATAGCCACACCAGACATGCTCAGCGATGTGGAGGAATTTCACCAATATGTCACCACCATCCGAACAGCCACTGTACCAACAGAATCCCAGCAAAAAATGTCTTTCAGGAGGAAATTCAAGATTTACCTTTGCTTCATTTGCCTTCAGCCTGGGCTTGCACTGAGGTGTCAGATTCTTCCCAGAGTGTCCACTTCCGCCTAGTGTGGCATTTACAGCAAAGAAAACTAGAATCCTCTGCCTCTGCTTTGTCCCCAGGCTGAGGCTGGGAGCCTGAGCCCAGAGGAACAACTGAAGGCGAACAAGAGGAAACCCCCAGGCGGGGGCAGAGAGCACTGTGACAGGGCCTGCAAGGAGGGCCAGGGGCCCAGGGCTGCCACACGGAGGCAGATTTATGGCTGAGAGACAGACAGTCAGAGGAAGCTCAAGTTCTACCACCAGGAGACACCAACAGGCTTCACGTCATTCCAGAGAGATCTGTACACTGAACTAGGACCCTCATCATTGTCCAAGGCAAGTACTGCAGACAGAGGCATGCACCAGCCAGCAGTAACCTCAACAGCAATCTACTGGGTTCCCTTTTCTTGGGGTGGGGAGGGGGAGAGCTTTAATTGTTACGGAAACAAGTCTCCGCCTTCTAGTCTGGTTTGTGTCAGAGACCCTGGGCTACTGCCTGCTTCTGTCTCTTAAAAGCACGTGAGACTCTGGGCAAATCACTTATACTTTCTGGATTTCATTTTCCTCATTTGCAACTTGAGAATAAAAATACATCTGCCCTATCTACCTCACAGATTGAGAATCAAGTATGGAAATGTATGTGAAACCACTTAAAAAACTGTGAAATGCAACACAGAGTAGTACTACTATTCATTTTTAGTTATAAACCTAATTTCCTTTATTATGATTATCAGATCTTATTTTAGCAGGGTCATTTCAGATCTTTCATTACCTATTAATTACTAAATTAAATATTACTTATATATATTTGAAATATCTTATTTCTACTGTTAGCATTTGTCTGATTTTGGTCAATTTCCCAAATTATAACAGCATATAAAACTATCTAATTTGCAAGCAATCTGTTAAACGTCTAGAAAAACAATGACACAAGCCATGCACTCACGTAAGACGTTCACTGAACAACTGGTATTACCCTAAAGCAATCATTCTCAACTAGGGCAATTCTGCCCCCCTCACCCCCACCCCCT